TGAGCAGTCACAGAATGTCAGTGTCTTGTCACCTGTTTTCACAAGGGTTTCCTGGCCACGTGTCACACAGAGGTGGTGCTGCAGCAAATAGATGAGCACATGGACACTGGAGAAGGAGTTGCATTTGCCTCTCAGGTAAATAACATTGACTTCACCTGCCTTTGATAGAACAGTGTGCACAGAACCTGCTTTTCTCCCCTCTGGTCTTGCCCAGCCTCACCTGACACAATGTGTCATTTTAGACTTGTAAAATACTTCTAAAAGGCTTTTTTTTTGTTTAAGTTTTTCAACTGAAAAACTCATCTGTGCCCACAGGCTGTGCCTGGCTGTGGGGCAGGAGTGGCTGTGCTGCTTGGTTTAGACAGCTTCATTTGCAAAACATACTCAGTTTAGTTAGAAAAATTAATGTTCTAAGCTAAAAGGCCAAAGGGTTTATGGACCTGCACTCCTGCCCTGCACAACTCCTGCTCCCTGGGAGCTCAGCAAGGAAACTCTGAGCTCTTCTCATTCCCAAGTCAAATTCCTTATGCTTAAAGTATTTACATTTTTCATCACTAAACCTTAACCTTCCAGATCAGGTCTGTGGTGTTGGACAGTATCATCAGTGAGAAGCTCTATGAGAAGTTTGTGCACACTGAGTATTACTCCCTGCTGAAGCAGCGAGTGATGAGCACACACAGAGTCAAAGAGCTGGTGGAGTATTTTGCCAAGAAGAACTGGTAAGTGAACAGAAGGCTGAACAGGGGATGTGTTCCTGGTGGAAGCTACAGGGAGCTACAGGTACTTCAGTATTGCTAAAGAAAAATCTCACTTCACTACTTAAGAGTTTCTCAGTGTCAGCCAAGACAAAGGAACAGGTTGGTGAACCTGAATTGGCAGCAGAGCAAACACAGCTACGAGAGCAGGAAAGCAAACACTTCAGCTTACCTTCAGCTGAACTCAGCTCAGGTCCATCCCAGTCACAGCTCCAGCCACAAACTGGGAGGCAGGAACTGGTGGGCTCATCAGTTTCCAGGAGTTAGCAGCATCTCTGGTGCTCCAGCACAGCAGCACCCATGGCCCTGGGGCAGGTCCTGCTCAGCAGCCCCTGCTGGCTCAGCTGCTGGGCCCTGCACCCCTGGGTCTCAGCCCCACACCCCAGGGAGGTATGTTGGTTTGTTAAGAGCTCAACTTGGGGCTCGTTTTCCTCCAAGACTCATCTGCCTTCAAAAACATAGGCTCAGACTCCATTTTTCTGCTTCAGGGTATAGTGTCTAAATTCTGGGCTTTTCAGAGAGCTCAAGTTGCCCAGGTTGACAAACTCTTGCCCATTACAGCCTTGAGGATGCAAGAGCTTTGCTTGAGGAGTATGGAGCGCAGAGTGGGAACCTGACCCCGGCAGACGTGTCCTCAGCTGATCTCCTCAAGGTACAGCAACCCACAGCTGCACCTCAGTGTTACAGCCTCTTTCCTAAACTGAGACCTTCCCTCAGCTGGTCACAGAAATACTTGTTAGCTGATTGATTTTAGCATATAGTAAAATATCCTTTTATTAATTCAACTGATGCATTTGACCTGAACCAAATATGCTCCATATTATGCTCCCAAGTATTTCCACAGGTCTTGGGTCGTATTCCATTTTTCTAAGCCCTACTAATATTGCTCCTTTACCCTCCAGATGTACCTGAATGGCTCAGAGGACACTTGTGTGCTGCAGCTGTCACCAGGAAGGCCCTGACTGCACTGTCCTAAGGAAGATCTGTGCCTTCAGAACACTCACACTGTCAGTGAGTGTTAGACTGGAACCACAGAGCTCTTCCCAAGGCTTCCAGGACCTTTCCACATTGTTTCCAGCTGTTTTAGGCTGTCTCTCCTCCATACTCCATCACTTCAGATTTGCAGCAGAATTTCCTGCCTCAACAGTAAATGTTCATACTCAGCACTTTAATCCTTCCTGACATTTATCTCCTTTTCTCCTGCATCTCTCTGTGTGTCAGGATCACTCAGATTTCATCCACCACAACAGAACCTCCATTAACTGTGGTAAACCTTTCTATGAAACTGTAAAATACTTTGTAGACAAATTTAAAGTTTAACCACAATGAGCATAAATAAACTTCCCTATCAATTTTGGCCTTGGAGTGTTCCATTTTTAATTAGGAATCACTCACTTTCCTTGGACAGTGTGCTGGGTGGTGTTTGCAGCTCAGCTCTGCCTGCAGCAGGAGGGAGCAACAGGCCTGAGCTCCAGTGCAGGAGGTGCCAGTGAGCCACAGGGCCCTGAGCTCCCAGCGTGAGCTGTTTGGGCTTTGGCCAAGATAAATCAGGTTTGTTTTGAACAGAAAGAAGTTGTTTTAGTCAGCTTAGGACCCAGAAATCAGGTGATATTCCAAGGCCAACATCTGCCAAGGAAACTGCCCACAGCTCTTGTGTAGAAAATAAATTCCTGTGCTGTTGGAATTTGCAGGAGCTGTTAACACACTCAGCTCCCTGCGATCCAGAGAGACTAAGGCTCAGTTGTCCTGAGCAGCAGCAAGTGCCACATGGACTGACATTGTTTAAAGCCTCTGTCCACAGAGCAGAGTGCACAGAGATGAGCCATGAATAAAGGAAACTCTTCCCTGAGTGTAGATTTGATGAGATCACCAGTCACTAAAGCACAGGGATATTTGCTTTGCGCAGAGAAAAGCTCAAGTTAAACTTTCTCTGACTAAAGCACAGGGATATTTGCTTTGTGCAGAGAAAAGCTCAAGTTAAACTTTCTACAGTGAAGCTATGAGTTAGTTGTCATATTTTCAGCATCTATCAACACATTTTGCAAACACAGCCTCATCCCAGGACCCTCAGCCCTTGGTTCCAGCCCTTTCTGAGTTGCCCTGAGCAGCTGAACACCAAACCATAGCACCAGGCAGTGCAAACCCAACCCCAGCAGTTCCATTTGCCCAGCACAGCTCATCAAGCTCAGTCCTTCTATGAAGTGGAGTTTATTACAACATTAAGGAGCAGAACTGACCACTTATTGTCATGGACAGAGAAAAGCAAACACGAGGCTGGTTCCAGGGCAGCAGCAAGAAGCTCCATGGTTAGGCTCTCAGCAGGGAGTGGAGGTGTGAAGTAGTGATCGAGTACTGAACTTGCTGTTCAGAATGAGATGGGAAAAATACCAGACAAGAAACAAATATCTTTAAGACTTTTTGTACTCGATTCTCTCTACTTTCACATCATCTCCAATTAGCTGATAGACATATGTGACCACTGTGGAAGCCTGGATATCCATCAGCACAAACGAGGGGATGATGTTGCTGGAGAGAGAGGAGAAAACTCGTGTTGATTGTGTGTAAATATAATCAGTTTCAGCCCTGAAATCCCTGCGAGACAACTGGGTATGAATTCTGTAAGCACAACGGATCACAGCTGAGGCTTGAAGAGCTTCAGCTGCCTCAGCCAAGGAGACTGAGCCAGTGCTGCCACCCCCTCCCCTCCCTGGCACCTCAAACAAACACTAACCTCACCCTGAGTCTGCAGCTCAGTGGGTTATCAGAAAGATTTCCCACATTTACTTACTTCTCCAGGGCATGATAAGCTCCTGTAGCTGATCCTGGGTTGATATAGAACTTATTTTCGTGCTCAAATGCCTCAAATTTGTGTGTGTGTCCCGAGATGAGGATGTCCACATCAAACTGCCTCTGGAGCAGTGCCAGGCTGGCCATGTCCCCCCAGGGGATCACCTGGTGCCCGTGAATCAGCCCAATTTTGAACTGCCCAACAGTCACAACTTTCTGTTCGGGGTAGTTCAGGTTCTAAAAACAAAACAAAAGCCAAACACAGACTGAATGGACAGAAACAACTATGCAACGGGGGAAGAGAAGGGGAAATTCATCACCACTTTTACTTGGATGAACCCAAACGTTGCCTTTCTGTACAAGGGGAGAAAGGGGAGACTCTACCTCATCGAAGTCCCCTCTGACCACGTGAACATCCCCAGCCAGAGTCTTGAGGTAGTCGTAGGTGTCCTTGGTGCAGAGGTTCCCTGTGCAGAGGATGTGTTGGATCTTCCCAGGAACCAGCAGCTTCTTGAACTTGGCTGGGAGGCTGTTGCAGCGATGTGGAATGTGAAGGTCTCCCAAGACTAACACCAACTTGCAGGTGTCAGGGCAGGGAAGAAAGAGCATTAGATACTCATTAAGGCAAAAAACACTGCAATGTCCTTCAGCTCCCTAACTTAACATTTGGATGTCAAAGCTACTGAAGTAGGAACGGAATGGGGATGAACATTGCTCTACCTGAGGGAAAACAAGGCCCTGCTAGGCCATTATCAGAGCACCCTAAAAACAACAGCTACAGCATCCTTCTGTTGCTGGCAGCCAGTGCAAGGCACCACAGAAATGTGTCACCACCTCCTGGATTCTACACAGAACTGGGAATTATCACAAACTATCTCATTTTTAATCCCCAGACAAAAGACAGGACATGCCTGGCACATGTTCTCAAGCACAGACTTAGCTGAAGTGCAGCCACTTCCCTTTAAAACCCTGCCCAGGTTCTTTCTACTTCCATTAACTTCTGTTTTCTTCCCTATCAAAGAAAAATATAAAAGATTTTTAAAAAGCAGCAAATCTGCAGCCTGTGTTAAGGTCTGGCCAGAAGAGGAAGTGTGCTCAGAGCCCATGTAAGGAGCACAGAACAAGAGCACATCACCACCCAAACAGGGCAGGGAGCAGCTGAACCAGGTGACTGCTCAGTGTTCTGCCACCACTCTCTGCATTCAGTGCCACGACAACAGAGCCAAGAACAATCATCATTAATGCAAGCACCACAGCAGTAAATTAATTGGGCAGGAAGGGCACGAGAAGCTGTGGGGAGCAGGGGAGGTTACGGCACTGCACCGGGAGACGCCGACCTGGGGACACATCCCTGTTCTCCTGAGAGAGCTCCACATCCAACAGTTTATCTTCCAAACACATTGGCTACTGAGGAACCTCCTGAGCTGACAGACATCAGATGTGTCTCAAACACTCAGCCCAGACAGAAGTGTCCATCAACAGCAGGAACTAGGCTAAGGCATTGCATTCTTACAGCTGGTTTCAGCCCATGCAGACACCTTGGGGCTAAGAGTCAGCACAACAGGAGCTTGGGTGGGGATTTGGGTTTGGGGCTCCTGAAGGTTAAGAACACCTCAGTGTCACCATCAGGGCCACCTGGAGACAGGTGGCTGAAAGCATTGGTGGAGCAATAGGAGAGCTTTGTAATCAATGAGGCACCAATCCAAACTGAACCAGCAGAGGGAAGAAAAGACACATTTCTGATGCTCTTTAGAGAGTCCCCAGTGAAAAATCTAACCAGCAGCAGCCTAGGGATGCAAGTTAAAAGTAGGTAAATGATTCAGACATTAAGGTGATTTTGATTAATAAATGGCAGTAGATTCCCCTGCTGATGCCTGAGGGACTGAGATGTGCAACACCAATGATGGAGCTAAGTTTACTGACATTCTAATGCCACTCAAACACACACCCCAGAGCCAGCAGTGTGTGCCCTCAGCAATCCCCATCCCCTTTGCTCACAAACACATTTCCCCCCCAAAAATCACATTTAAGCTCCCACTAATTACAGCAAAGCTGGAGGAGCTCCAGCAGCCAACCCAAAGGAGCTGCAGTGTGCTCAGCCTGCAGCACCAAACGCTGGCACAGATGGCACAGCCCTCGAGCTTTGCTGGGGGTTTTGGGGGGACCCTGATCCTCCTGGCCCAGCACGAACCAGCCCTTCCCACGGCGCCAGCAGCGACTTACTCTGTGCCCAGCCTGACCGGGGTGGAGGAGTTGATTGCAGACAGGGAGGGATGA